CTAAAATACCTGTCAAATGAAATGAACAGAATAATTGTATTAACCTTTCCATTTTACAAACAAATTCCACTACCACAGCATGAGTACCGGTATATCTGCACAAGCGCAGTACAGTATTCCCAAAGCATATACTGTATAGGGAATTTCCCTAGGATTAAGTTATAGGCCTAGTATCTGATCCTGTTGGAGGATGGATTACATTGAACCGGAAAAATGACAATGGGGGACTTAATTAAATATCATTGCAATATTTCAACAAGATGATAATGATAGGTTGCTACTGCTACATACAAATACTACTAATAATAATCTGAATAAAATTAATAACATACCTATGCTATTAATTTATAATTTAACTGTGATAACTAAAATAATAATAATAATAATAATAATAATAATAAATATAATATTAGTAATAATAATAATAATGAAAATAATAATAATAATAATAATAATAATAATAACAGCAACAAGTAGTAGTAGTAGTAGTAGTAGTAGTAGTAGTAGTTGTAGTAGTAGTAGTAGTAGTAGTAGTGGTAGTGGTAGTGGTAGTGGTAGTGGTAGTGGTAGTGGTAGTAGTAGTAGTAGTAGCAGGGGTGCATGTCAACTCGGCCACAAGTCAACTCAGCCACAGTCAACTCGGCCACAAGTCAACTCGGCCACAAGTCAGCTCGGCCACAAATCAACTCGGCCACAAAAAGTTCGGCTACAGCCAACTCGGCCACAAGTCAACTCGGCCACAAGTCATTTATTGTAAACCTCAGTTTATGATTGAAATATTGAGTACACAGTATATTTTAGTAAAACAGGACCACCACACTACAAAACGAGATTTGAATGTTATTGCCTATGAATTAAAAAGAGTTATTTATTAATGTGTTCGTCTTCTGTTTACTCACATTCTACTTCAACTATAATATTAAACAACAATAACGACAATAAATTAGTAATATTTACTTTAATAATACTAGTTAGTCATTATGACGATAATAAAGGTGATAACAACAACAACAACAACAACATTAATAGTAATATTTATTTTAACAATACTGATAGTAATAATACTAGTATGGTAATAATAAAGATATTTAAATATCAATTTTAATAAGTAATTAGTGATAACAATATTGAAGGTGATAATAGCAATAATACAACAATAATAAATTAAAGATAATATTTATTTTTATAATAATAGTAATACTAATTAGTAATAATAATAATAATGATACTTATAATACTAGGCCTACTTAGTAATAATAGGGTAATAATATCGATAATAAAGGTGACAGCAACAACAACAACAACAATATTATTATTAATAATAGTAATAATAATAATAATATGAGAAAATACCAATAAAACACCAATAACAATAACTTTTAAATTACTATTATTAAAATAATAATATTTATTTATTTATTTATTTATAAAAATTTGAACAATATATAATGTTAATGCTAAGACTAATAATTAATATTAAAACTAACGGTAATAAAAACAACAATAATAATAATAACAACAATGACAACAATAATAACAGCAATAATAATTATATAACAATAAATATAGTAATACTTAAAGAATTAGTATTTTATATTTGATGAATTACTCTTTCAAATTTTAGTGCCAGTAGATGACTTTTGGCCGAGTTGACTTGTGGCCGAATTGACTTGTGGCCGAGTTGACTGTAGCCAAACTTTTTGTGGCCGAGTTGACTTGTGGCCGAGTTAACTTGTGGACGAGTTGACTGTGGCCGAGTTGACTTGTGGCCGAGTTGGATCGAATTCAGTAGTAGCAGTGGCAGTAGTAGTAGCAGCTTAGTAAATAAGTATTAACGATAACGATGACGACTGTGATATTATGATAGTGATACTGATTTTACTGTTAAAACTAACAACGACGTCTGCAATAGCCCCTTTTTTTACTTTTTTAAATTTTTTAACTTTTTTATTATTTATTTGCTTACTTTGGTCTAATTTAAAGAAATCTGCATTTATTGCGATACAAATATAATAATTATAATCGTTTTACTTCTACCTATGTCCTTTTTTTTTGTCAACGCTTTAAAATAATAGTAAAAATCAATTGGCTAATGTGTTAAAGCTCGAGAGACAAAATTGTTTTGAATAAATAATCAAATTTCACAAAAAAATATTAAACTATGACATAAACAATAGGAAAGTTCCCAAGTAACATTATAATCCTGTTGGAATTTAGATGGATACTTCAAATCCGGAAAATAGAATTACTGTAGCATTGCAACATATCAAATGCAGATATAAAGTCCTATCTTCTGACTACAATCATTTAGTCGTATTCGAAATCATCAGGACGATAGATCTCTAACGAAAATGGGAGGATGTCAAGTGAAATGCGAATGTTCAGGCCTTCTACCGTGCTTAGTATTTGTAGCTGTATTTGTGTTATTTCCACTTGGAATTCGTAATGCTGTTTTGTATCATAAAACAAACGACTTCATCGACGGAAACTGTACGATTTTAAACTCTACATTTTATATTAAGAAGGTCAGATGCGATTGTCTCCTTTGTAAGAGGAAAACAAAAACCTGCAGTCAAATTTTTGTTGGAATTGATGATAATGGAGCAACAAGACGTCTCCAACTTTATGAGTCAGAAGATGACATCGGAAACGAGGTACCGGTATTAAATACATTACAAAAATATTACACTTTTTCTCTATTTTAGGTTTTTTTCACAATAATGTATCATTCCGATTACCATTGTATTGCGTAAATAATTATATTATTTTTTCAGTGTTTTCTAGAGCCATGCGATACAACTTCGGCCTCAGATGTTGACAAAATCTACCCAATAGGTAAGACGTTTGCTTGTAGCTATCATTCTGATAAAGACGAAGCTGTGGTAAACAAGGAGATACCAAGGTCACGTGTACTCCATTTGATGATTTGGCCCTCTGTATTCCTGGTTCTTCTGATGCTTACTTGCATAGTAGCCTTCAACTTGGATCGATGCAAAAGAAACTGGTGAGAAAGCTTTGATATTGTTACGAATTAGATTTACAAAATGTAATTCTTACTGCTGTAATATTTATGAGCGATGCCAAATAAACATTTGTTCTTCGTTGTGTATTCAACTCTTAATTATCAATAATATGTATTTATTTTTGTAAAATTCATGTCTATAGCATATATTTTATGATATGAGTTTACGATGTAATGCAAAATATAGATGCGTTTTCTATATCTTGAAAGACCGATCTTGTATAAATCTGAGTTAAGGTCTAGAAACAGTGGCGTATATAGGGAGGGCGCCCCCACCCCCCTAAAAAAAATCACGGTCAAGTAGTTAAAAATCACCATATTTTGTATTTTGCGAATGAGCGCCCTCAACTGATCATCGACCCCCCGCCCCACCTTCACCTTCGCGCCCCCAGTCAT